AGCACTCTCAGGAGGGACTCCTGAGCACAGAGTCAGGAGTAAGCCTTGAGCACTCTCAGGAGGGACCCCCTGAGCACAGAGCCAGAAGTAAGCCTCGAGCACTCTCAGGAGGGACTCCTGAGCACAGAGCCAGGAGTAAGCCTCGAGCACTCTCAGGAGGGACTCCTGAGCACAGAGCCAGGAGTAAGCCTCGAGCACTCTCAGGAGGGACTCCTGAGCACAGAGCCAGGAGTAAGCCTTGAGCACTCTCAGGAGGGAGCCCCTGAGCACAGAGCCAGGAGTAAGCCTCGAGCACTCTCAGGAGGGAGCCCCTGAGCACAGAGCCAGGAGTAAGCCTTGAGCACTCTCAGGAGGGAGCCCCTGAGCACAGAGCCAGGAGTAAGCCTTGAGCACTCTCAGGAGGGAGCCCCTGAGCACAGAGCCAGGAGTAAGCCTCGAGCACTCTCAGGAGGGACTCCTGAGCACAGAGCCAGGACGAAGCCCTGAGAACGGCCTGGTGTAGCCCCAAAACCCAAATTAAATGAAAATAACTAAAATGCAGTCACAGAGAGACTCAGGCCCAAACAAAAGCTCCCTGCAAAAAGAAGGTGTTGGCGGTCACTGTGTGTCAAATAGAGATGCTTTTTCTGTTCTTGTTTTGATCCGCCCGCCCAGAGAGATAAATCACAGAAATGTCAAGTCTGAATGAAACATAGGTTTCCGCGGATTAGGGTACAGACTGTCATCGGTGTTTTTTTTTCCTTCCTTTCCTGCAATCTTTGCTGAAAGATATTCGAAGTGAAGTTAATAATTGAAACATAATGAATAATTGCAGTTTGGGGTCCAGAGCACGATCATAATTGCCAGTTTATTACTTTTTTAATATATTTGCCAAGTATTAATAATATTGAAAGAATGCGAAAAGATCATGGGAAATAAATGAAATAGATCATTTGTCAAGGAATCAGGGTCCCCCAGCTGGAGGCCCTGCTCTTACGGGTCCCCTGACGGATGCCTGGTGCTCCTGACCTCGCTTGCGAATTCTGGACCCTGCTGGATTCTTATCACGCCCAGTGAAGGTGCAGAGACTTGCCGTGTAGACAGCACCGCCATGTTTTATGGGTTTCTTGGGGGCAGGGGCCAGAGAGAGGAGGAGGACCAAGCTGTGACCTCGGAGAAGCTCCTTCCTCACTCGAAGGTCCTCACTGGGAGGGCTGGGGTGATAGCACAGCAGGGAAGGCACTTGCTGTGCCTGCGGCCAACCCAGGTTCAATCCCTGGCACCCCGTGTGGCCCCCGAGCCCCACCCTGCCCCAGAGTGATTCCTGAGCACAGAGCCAGGAGTAAGAGCCGGGGGTTAGCCCCAGCACCTCCGAGTGTGACCCAAAGGACAAAAGCACTTCCTGGAGCAAGGGGAGGTGAAAAAGGGTCAGTGGCTGGGTCCTGGATGTGGATCCTCGGGCCCTGCTGAACCCACGAAGAGCCGCCCAAGCCTGCACAGTGCTCTCTGGAGCCGCTGGGTCGGGGGGGGGGCTGCAAGGGTCCCCGGGCAAGGCACTTGGGTTCCTTCAGATCAGCACCACCATCAGGAAGGAAGGAAGGAAGGAAGGAAGGAAGGAAGGAAGGAAGGAAGGAAGGGGAAGGGTGGAGGGAGGAATGGAGGGAAGGAAGGAAGGAAGGAAGGAAGGAAGGGAGGGAGGGAGGGAGGGAGGGAGGGAGGGAGGGAGGGGGGAGGGGGGAGGAAGAAAGGAAGGGAGGTAGGGAGGGAGGGAAGGAGGGAGGGAGGGAGGGAAGGAGGGAGGGAAGAGAAGAAGGGAGAGAGGGAGGGAGGGAGGAAAAGAAGGGAGGGCGGGAGAGAGGGAGGAGGGCAGGAGAGAGGGAAGGAAGAAAAGAAGGGAGGGAGGGAGGGATGGAGGGAGGGAGGGAGAGAGGAGGGGAGGCAGGCAGTCAGGCAGTGTTACAATCTGGGAGTTCAGGACACTGTCTCGGGCCAGAGTGATAGGACATCGGGGAGGGCGTCTGCCTCGCATGTGGTGACCCAGGCTGGACCCCCAGTACCCCCCCATGGTCCCCTGAACCCTGTTAGGATCCCTGAGTGCTGAGTTGGGAGTCAGCCCTGAGCGCTGGCAGGTGTAGGCCCAGAACTAAAAGAAAAAAAAATAGAGCACTGTCTTGAGGGGCTGGAGAGACGCTCGGGGCCGGCACAGGGTCACCCTCCAAAGCACCCCAGAGTGACCCTCAGCACAGGGTGAAGCAAGAGCAGCCCCAGCCCTGCTGGACGGGCCCCCAAACCAACCGACCAAGAGAATCGCCAAGGACAGCTGGGCAGGCCTGCGACCCCCGCCTGGTCCCTGGGAGGCGGGGCTGGGAGTTTCCTGGGCCGCTTCGATGTTTTTCCACGGTGAACATGCGTGATCGCGGGGAAGGAGATGAAGAAACTGGCATGTTTGTGGCATCTAACTTGCTTGGCGACGCCTGGGATCGGTGTCGCCCCACGGGCGGGAGCTGGGTCCACGTCCAGAGAGTTGGAAAGTTGAACCGCGACTTCCCGTCTCTGGATTCTTCATCTGGCGCGGCCTGTGCTCGTGAGTGTCCCTGGGCGGCCAAAGGCCCCAAACGGACCCCGATGGGGACTGGGAGGGGCCACAGAGAGGGGCCAGAGATGGAGCAGAGGGAAGGGGGCTCACCTCGCCTCTGGCCACTTCAGTGCCATCCCAGGGTCCACACATGGTCCCCGGAGCACCGCCAGGATGACCCCTGAGCACAGGCGTCAGCCCTGGGCAGCACCCAGTGCGGCCCCCCTGAAAAGCTGTGGGAGGCTTTAATTAGGGGGAGTTTTTTTGGGGGGGAGGTGTCACACCTGGTGATGCTCAGGGGTCCCTCCTGGCTCTGCACTCAGGAATTACTCCCGACAGTGCTCAGGGGACCATACCAGGGTCGGCCTCGTGCAAGGCAAACGCCCTCCTGGCTGTGCTGTCGCTCCAGCCCCTAGGGGGCAGTCTTGAGCATCAGAGCTGCTCTGTGCAGAAGATTCTCTCCTCCAGGAGGGACGCTGGGGTCTCCCCTGCCCCTGCCCCCCGCTGCTCATGGCCACTAGGGACTGACCCTGAGCCCTGCCCTTTCTCCCCACCCTCGGGCCTGCGTGCTGGGCGCCCTGGACACTTCTCTGCCCTGACCTCCCATCCCCAAGGCATCCAGCTGAGCTCTTACCCAGGCGGGGGGCTGAGCCCCCCGAAAGGCAATTGGGGGGCACACAGCGCCCCCCCAGCCCCGTTCCACCCCAGCCCCAAGTCCATGCACCGACTGGACTCTCCAGCCTCTGTCCTGCGGGGTATTTCCAATCTGGTCCACAAGGGCCCCCAGATTCCGCCCAACTGTCCACTCCCCTCGCTCCCTGGCCACCACTTCCCGGCAGGACCCCTCTCTCCCCCACTAAGCCATCGGGCCAGAGGGGGTGGTGCCCCCAGACCAGTGCACCCTCATCTTGCCGGAGATGTGGAGAAGGAGCCAAAGCCACGGGCCCCAGTGTCCTTCTCTGGGAAGCGACGCAAGCAGACACGCGTCCTCCCACCCCTGGACCTTGGCACATGCCACCTTCCCATCCCGATGCCTCCCCACTCGGAGAGCTTCTTCTCCTTCAGGTGCCAGCACAATTTCGCTTCTCCCGAGAAGTCCTCCCTGACTGCCCCCCACCCGCCTCGAGCAGCCTCTCTCACTGCCGGACCGGGTCCATGGTCATCACAGCGGCTCTCAGCAGCGTGACGGGAAAGGGCTGCGTGGGTCCCATCTGCTTCGTGGGAGCCGGCTGGGGACCGTCCCCATCCCGCCCGGGGACTGCAATCTCCCCCTGGGCAGTGCTTGAATGCTGAGAGCCCAGGGTCAGCTCCTGGACGCCCCCCGCCCCAGCCAGTCTCCAGCCCTGCTGACCAGTGGGCAAGACCCCTGCGGGGGCTGGAGGGCGGCGTCCCAGCCCCTGGGGGCCCCAGCGGACCCCAGCGGACCCCAGCGGACTGTGGGCCCCAGCCCTTGGCTGCAGTAGCCCCTCGCCACGACGGTGTCAGCCAAACCATCCCAAGCGCCTCAGTGTCCCCGCAGAGGGCGCTGGGGACACGGTGGACGGCTCGGGGCTGCCCGCAGTACCGCCCCGCGACCAGCAGGTGACAGCAGAGACCGCGCGTCCCCCTTGCTGGACCCGGCCCCTGGCCCCTCGGCCCTGTCCAGCGTTTCTCCAAGCGGGCAGCACCGCAGAGCCCCGAGCTGAGCCCGGCCAGTGCCCGACTAACTCCCCCTCCGCGCCCTCCCTCCCCCTGCGGCTTGCCTGGGGCCAGGGGCGGCCCTGGACCGTCCACCGCGGCTGCCCAGTAGGACTGCAGGACAGACGGACGCACCCCGAGCCGGGGCACTGGGTCGGGGCGGGGACGCGAGAGAGGGAGGGAGGGGGTCCCAGACGGGGTCGATGTGTCCTGGCCGGAGGCGGAGGATGTCGTGGGGAGGCGGTGATGATGTCATCAGGACATGTCGTCACGACCAAGGTGACGTCATAGTGGGGGAGTCAGGAGCCCCGAGTCCGGGAGACAGTGTGCGGCCTCCAGGCCGTGACACGCCCCCGAGCTGCGACAGAGAAAGAGTGCCTGGGGTTGGGGCCCGGAGCACTGGCTCGCTGTGCATTTTTGGGAGACTTCCCTAACCTCTCTGGTCCCCCCGTGTCCTCAAAGCGGCGCTTGGCCAAAGGTGGGGACAGGGAAATGAAGGCAGAGGAAACCCGGGTGTGGCAGTGTTGCGGCAGTTTATGACCGGGGCTGTTCCCACTCTCTCGTGGGTTCTCTGTCCTCCCACCCCACAGACACTTGAGTGCCAGCTCGGCACGCGTGACACACGGACACGGCACATGGGGACACACGTGTACAGGGACACTCAGGGGCACATACACGGACACAGCACACGCCACAAACCAGAGTGGGGGCCGCTCGGTCCCCCCAGCTCTCAGACTGTCCCGCCTCCCTCGGTGTCCCCGGGGCAGGCTCAGATGGCGCCCTCCTGCACCCGCCTCAGGCTGAGCACGCGGGCGGCGGACAGGAAGGCCACCCCGGTGAGCAGCTCGGCGATGAAGCTGGCCCAGCCCAGGGCCAGGGACCAGCCGAAGCGGATGTCCACCTGCTCCAGCAGCGCCGCCTCCTCCAGCAGACACAGTGCCTCCCGGAAGGCGGCGGCCGAGTAGGCAATGTACACGCTGATGCCGGCCAGGGTCACCAGCGCTGTGGGGGGAAGGGAGGCGTCAGGCCGGGCACTAGGGCCCTCCGGCACTGTGGTACCATGAGTACTGGGGGTTCCGTGGCACTGTGTGGGTCCCGCGGCACTGTGTCGCTGTGGGTACTATGGGTCCCATAGCACCATGGCACTGTGTCACTGTGGGTACTGTGGTTCCCGTGGCACCATGGCACTGTGTCGCTGTGGGTACTGTGGTTCCCGTGGCACCATGGCACTGTGTCACTGTGGGTACTGTGGTTCCTGTGGCACCATGGCACTGTGTCGCTGTGGGTACTGTGGGTCCCGTGGCACCATGGCACTGTGTCACTGTGGGTACTGTGGGTCCCGTGGCACCATGGCACTGTGTCACTGTGGGTACTGTGGGTCCCGTGGCACCATGGCACTGTGTCACTGTGGGTACTGTAGGTCCCATGGCACCATGGCACTGTGTCACTGTGGGTACTGGGGTCCCGTGGCACCATGGTACTGTGTCACTGTGGGTACTGTGGGTCCTGTGGCATTATGGCACTGTGGGTCCTGCAGCATTGCGGGTACCATGGCATTTGTAGCTCTGTGCTTAACATGGACCCTTTGGCACTGTGGGCCTGGCACTGTGGGCCCCATAACATCGTGGGGACTGTGGCGCTGTGTCACTGTGGGTACTGTGGACCCCAGTACTCTGGCACTGAGGGGACCATGGCACCAAGGGAACCATGGCACTGGGACACACTGGGTTCCGGGGCACCATGATCACTATGGCACCAGGACACCGCAGTTTGTGATTCCTTGGGCCCACGGCACATGAGCCGCATGGCCCAGTGGCACCTACCTCCAAAGAGGAAGAGGGTTCCAGTGAGAAGCAGCAGGCGTGAGGCTCGCAGGAGGAAACTGAGGAAGCCCGCCATGCCCCCGAACACCATCAGGACCAGGCTGAGAGGCAGCAGGATGAGGAAGGTGCCGTGCATGGCTGCAGAGAGCGGGCAGAGGAGGCGAGGGCGGGTGGGCAGGGCCGCCGGGCCCCGCAGGCAGCACCCTGCCCTCCCCCACTCACCCCTGCAGGGAGGCAGCTCCCCACTCCTCACCCCACCAGGGCAGCGAGGGCCCACGACGGGGCGTGACAAAGGACCAAGCAGTTTCTGGCCTGGGGGCTTGTGGGGAGCTTAGGGGCACTGGGGGTGCCCTGCCAGGCAGACGACACTGTGTGAGTCTCCGACTTACACCCCTGCCCCTCCCAGGCACCACAGGACAGGTGGGACCCCAGGACGGGCCCTCCTTTGGGGTGGCAAGAATAGGGGTCTCGGGTAGGAGCGACAGTATAGCAGGTAGGACATTGCCTTGCACGCGGCCAACCCGGGTTCCATCCCCGGCATCCCATAGGGTCCCCCGAGCATCGCCAGGAGTAATTCCTGAGTGCAGAGCCAGGAGGAACCCCTGAGCATCGCCGGGTGTGATGCAAAAAGAAAAAAAAAAAGAGGGTCTCCAAGGCCATCGTGCTGGGGTGCTGGGTGGAGGAGGGGGTTCTGTGTCCAGTGCTCGGTTCCTGGAGAAGACGGGGCAGAGAGGCAGGGGAAGGGGGCCGAGACGCAGCTGGGGAACCGCATTCCCAGATTCCAAGAGGCGAGACCCCCCTCCACACCTCAGCCCTGCCAGGATGTTCAGGGACCACATGTGGGTGGGGACCGTGAAGCGTGAGAGCGAGAGCGGGGCCCTGGGGCCAGCAGGGGTCGCCCCGACTCTGCCAAGGATGGGCGGAGACCACCCTCCGCCCCTAACTGCCGCCGGCCTAGGGGAGTCAGGGGACACAGCTGCCACTCCCGGCACTGTGGAGGGGACCCCGGGGAGGGAGAGGGGCTGAGTCCCACCTTTCCTCTCCTTCCTCCTCAGAAAACCCTGGGCAGCACGAACACAGCTGTGGGTTCGTGAACCGTCAGCTCTGCCCCGGCCAATCCCTCTGGCTGCGACTGGGAAGTGACCAAGTGAGGCCACTTCCTGGTGAACAACCTCCCTAGAGCCGGGCGGAGCCACCGGCCTGGCCTCCCAGGCAAGCCACCAGCTGCCCCACGTCAGAGATGGGTTTGTAAAAAGCCCAGCTCCTTCCCCGAGGGACAGGACTGAGTGTCTCCCAGCACTTCCGGGAGCCTCTTCCCGGAGCCTCGGGGCTGAGGAGCCAGAAAGTGCTTCATTTTCCCAGGAGCACTGCGGGTGGAGCAGACTCCTGCCGGAGCTGAGCTCACACTGCTGGAGCAGTTTCGATCTTCATCCTCTCTGGGTGCAGAAAGCCCCCAGGTCGCCGTCTCTGCCTCTCTGGGTGCAGAAAGCCCCCTCCTTTGCCCACCCGGGAATGGAACAGGACATCCATCCACTCGGCTTCCTTTGGCACGAATATCTCTGCTTCCTTCTGGATTTGCTTCTTCCCTCTTGGTGGAGAGTTGGGGTTTGGGGGGGGGGGAGCAGGGGATTCACAGCTGATACTGCTGAGGGTGAAACCTGGAGTCCCCAAAACAGCACGTGTGCTTAGCCCTTCAGTTCATGTCTGTGGTTAGGGTGTTTGCCTTGCATGGGGCCCACCCAGGTTCAATCCCTTGGGTCCCCCAAGCACCATCAGGGGTGACTCCTGACCATCACTGGTCGTGGCCCCAAAACAAACAAACAAAAAGTACCTTGGGGGGTCAGAGTGATAGTGCCGCAGAGAGGGTGTCTGCCTTACCTGTGGCTGACCAGGGTTGAACCCATAGGCATCCCATAGGGTCCCCCAAGCACCACCAAGAGTGATTCCTGAGCGCAGAGCCGGGACTCACCCCTGAGCATCGCCAGGTAAAACTAAAAACGATTCATTTCATTCATTCATTCATCATCCTGTTATTCGTCGATTGCCTCGAGCAGGCCCCAGTAATGTCTCTTTCATCCTAGCCCTGAGATTATATTCAAGGCTCTTTAGGAGAATGAGACCCATCATTGTTACTGGTATTTGGCATATTGGGTATGCCACGGGGAGTTTGCCAGACTCTGCCCTGTGGGCAGGCTACATTCGATAGCCTGCCAGTTTGTCCAAAGTAGGAATGAGATAATAAGAAGTCATAAAAAGATGTCCTGATAAGATGTCCGGTTCCGGGAGCTGGATTTTATAGTCTCTGAGTCTTGCCGCTGATGGGATTACACGGCGCCAGGGGGCCAGGTGGTGGGTGTGACCCCCGCCTACTGGAATTTGGAGGATCTGGGTGGAGGATGCTCAGCCCCGATCCGAGCAGGCTTGGAGATCTCAGCCCCGGAACCCGCATGGCTTTGTCCCTCTGCCAGTACCTTCATGTGTGCGGAGAGTGGTCTCAGCATGGTGGTGGCTGGTCCTGGAGGTCTTCAGCTGCTGGAGCCCTGGTCGGGGCGGGGAGGAAAGCTCAACCCGCTCCCCTCCAAGGGGCCCCCAGCGAGGAACAGCCAGGCGCCGTGTAAAAATGATTCATTAAAAGAAAAAAAATTTGAGACTTCCAGGGCAAAGCCCAATCGGTGGCTCTATCCCCGACAGCTAGGCCTGGGCCTGTGAGAAAGAAACTCTTCCCGAGGGCAGAAAGGAGCCTGAGATCATTAGCTCCATTCTACAGAGGGAAGCCTGAGGCTACAGGAAGTACAGGGACTCAGGGCTGAAGTGACGCCCTACTATGCGCATTGGGCTGGGAGGGAGCTTCGCTCAGGTGCTCTCAATTCATCCCAACAGTCTGATGAAAGAGCCAGGGATGCCCAGAAATCACCTGCTGGCTAAGGGATGGGAGATGCTGGTCCTGCTTCCAACGATGAATGGCAAGGTGCACGTGACTCTGCCCAGCCAATCAGCACAGCCCAAACCCTCTGTGCCCCAGTGATTGGCCCAGGATGGGGGCACGGGATCCTGTTTGAACCCATGAGAGGCTTCCCTGAAAATATTGCAGAATTATGGGGCAATGCAAAGTCTGCTGGTTGGAGTAGAGGAGAGGATTTCTTAGAAAGCTGAACCCAAGCAGAAGCAAAGGCCTCGAGGAAAGGAACAGGGTTTAGCTCTCCACATCATGCAGTCGGCTTGAGCTTTCCAGGTGTGAAACCTGGACTGCCCAAAACAGCATGTGTTTTGGGGAGTCCTAGGCCCCCAGAAACTTGAGTTTCTGTCACCTGCCATTCAAGACTTCCCGCGGACACCTCCTGGCGGGTAGCAGCCAAGGACTCTTTCACTGTCTTGAACTTAGAACTCCCTCCGCACCAAAAATAATTCCCACTCTCAGCCAGGGAACACATTTCTGACTTGCCCCGCCAAGCTGACCTGGAAGACAGTATATCCTAGCAAAGCCAGCTTCTTGTTGGAGTAAGAATACTTGTCCTGGTAGGGTTTCTTTGGAGTGAAAAATCCAAGGCCTGTCCCTTGTACCCCCAAGAGGGGTCATCTGGGAGGCTGACTTGGCACGTAATGCTGACAAGGGTCTCTCTCTCTCTCCTGGGTGGTCTCTACATCCGGCCCTGACAGAGACATTACAAGAGACAAAACTTTTCTTGCACTGGTCCCACCCCAGTTCCATCCCTGGCACCACACGGTCCCCTGAGCACTTGCTGGTCGTCACTCCTGGTCACAGAACCAGAAATCAATTGTCCCTGAGCACCAGAGGGTAGGCACCTCCCTCCAAACTGGTTTTGAAATAAAGAATAAAAGCACTTCACAGAGTAAAAGAGCTCCAGAGGAGGAGACTCAGGGTTCTCCCTGGGGATAAAGAGATTCTAGAAAATTCTCTTCCTGGGGGTGAGTTGCTGCTAGCACACAGTCTTGGGGGTAGTCTGCTCTGCTTCCTGGATGATAGGACGATGATAACAGCAGCTACCACTTCACGAATCATGACCATCCTGTTATTCGTCGATTGCCTCGAGCAGGCCCCAGTAACGTCTCCTTCATCCTAGCCCTGAGATTATATTCAAGGCTCTTTAGGAGAATGAGACCCATCATTGTTACTGGGATTTGGCATATTGGGTATGCCACGGGGAGTTTGCCAGACTCTGCTGTGTGGGCAGGCTACATTTGGTAGCCTGCCAGTTTGTCCAAAGCAGGAATGAGATAATAAGATGTCATAATAAGATGTCGCGTGGCCGCAAATGTGGCCGCGCGGTTCCGGGAGCTGGTTTTTATAGTCTCTGGGTCTTGGCCGTTGATGGGATTACACGGTGCCAGGGGGCCAGTTGGTGGGTGTGACCCCCACCTACTGGAATTTGGAGGATCTGGGTGGAGGATGCCCGGCCCCGATCCGAGTAGGCTTGGAGATCTCGGTCCCGGAACCCGCGTGACTTTGTCCCTCTGCCAGTACCTTCATGTGTGCGGAGAGTGGTCTCAGCATGGTGGTGGCTGGTCCTGGAGGTCTTTGGCTGCCGCCGGAGCCCTGGTCGGGGCGGGGAGGAAAGCTCAACCCGCTCCCCTCCAAGGGGCCCCCGGCGAGGGCAGCCAGGCACAGGGGCAAGAGACTGCCAGCTGCCACTTAGGGCGGACATAATGGGGTTGTGTCAATACACCTTTCTACAGTAACCTTAGGAAGAGGTGCCTCTGTTAGCCCACAAGAGGTCAAGGAAGTCCCACACTAGACCCCCAGAAGGTGGCCTATGACTGTGGTTCTACCTCAGTCTGAAAGTGGAGGTGGAGCTTTCCCGTTTCTCAAAATCCCAGCGAGTGACAGATGGTGTGTCCCCAAATTGCACAAAGAAAGATCAGTGCCGGCTCGCTGGCTGTCCTGGTTACCCAGAGAGGTGATAAGGAGACTGAATGTCAGCTCCAAGCCCCGTGATGGGGCAGAGTCCCCAGGAGGCTGGTGGGCGGAGGGTGGGGGGCGTGAGGGCTGTGACATCTGTCACCCCATTGATCGCTGGGATTGATTCTACTGGCTAGGTGGATATTTCCTCCCTCCCTCCTGGTTCCATGTGGATCCCTGAGCACTCGGTCACAGAGGATGGACTTCCCCGAACACAGACAAACCTTTGGACCCTGGAATCTTCAGCAAGCAGCTGTGCTTTCCCTGCTAGAACCTGGTCAGCAAGCTTCCAGAAAGGCTGGGCAGGTTCTGATGAGGACTTGGTCGAAGGAGCCCTGTCTGTGCTGGTGCTTTTCTGGTTGGTTAGTTGGTTGGTTGGTTGGTTTGAGCCATGACCAGAGGTGCTCAGGATTTCCCCTTGGTAGGCTCTGGGGAACACCTGGGGTGCTGGGATCGAACCCTGGTTGACCACACGTCATGCAAGGACCCTACCCACTGTCCTATCTCTCGGGCCCCCAGTGACTTTAGACCAAAGCAATGGGGAGATTCACCCAGCAACCAGGCCCTAGATGAGGTCCCCAGGAAAATCGATTTTCTTGTCTTTTTTCTTCCCTCCAAGTGGTTTATGGAGTCCTGAGCAAACCTTCATGGTCCTGACATCTCATTTGGGGTGGTCAGAGCCCCATACCTACTCAGGGGCTAGTCCTAGGGGACAGTCCAACCCTCTTCAGGGGTTATCCCTGGCTCGGTGCTTGGAGGATGGTCCCTGGGATGCTTGAGCTGTACCTCGGGCCTCCTTCATGCAAGCCTGCGCTCCGGCCCTTTCAGCCGCCTCCCCAACTCCCAGCATTTGAACAGATCTAAAAGCCAAGGCTCAGAAAGGTGAAGACACCTCTCCCCGCCCCTCCCCTCCCCCAAGGATCTGCTCTGGGATTTGGCCCCCACCTCCCGGCTTCATGAGCAGAAACTCGGTCATTCCTGCAACAAGAACTCTGAGATGAAACTCCCAGAGATTCTCCTGGTGCTGAACGGAGCAAGCATGGGCACTCCTTTCCTCTAACCCTCTTCAAAGCTCACCTCCCTGGAGGGGAAGCCTCCTAGGGGGTCAGGGGGCTGCTGGCTGCCCCGGTGGGCCACGGCCGGTGCGTGTCAGCTGCAAGCATCAACCTGTTGACACTTAGCATAACATTAGCTTCAGAGGAAATTTTCATGAATATTGATGCCGCAGCTATGGGCACTGGCTCTCAGTCAAGATTCCCCTTCTCGACAAGAAATTGGGTTCAAAAAGGGAATGCCCTTTCTAGAGGAAAAGGCAGCTCAGATAGAGAAGGGAGCACCAAATAAAGGGTGTTTGGAGGATCCTCCCAGGAGGGGAGATGCATGTCGAAAGTAGACTATGGACTGAACATGTTTGCCACTCAATGCCTCTTTTGCAGACCACAACACCCAAAAGGAGAGAGAGAACACAAGGGATCGCCCTGCCACAGAGGCAGGGGGGGATGGGGGGATGGGGGTGGGAGGGATATTATCCATGGTGGTGGAAAATGGGCACTGGTGGAGGGATGGGTATCTGATCATTGTATAATCGAAACCCAAGCACAAAAATTTGTAAATCTACAACTGTACCTCATGGTGTTTCACTAATAAAAATTTAAAAAATTTAAAAAAAAATAAATTGGGTTCAGTATTTCCCAATGCACCCCAAGATGGTTTTTTTTTGGGGGGGAGTCACACCCAGCAGTGCTCAGGAGTAACTCCTGACTGTATGCTCAGAGATCACTCCTGGCGGGGCTAGGGGACTATACGGAATGCCGGGAATCAAAGCCAGGTTGGTGGGGCTGGAGCAAGAGCTCAGCAGGGGAGGGCATTTGCCTTGCCGACCCGGGTTCGATTCCCAGCATCCCATATGACCCCCAAGCACCGCCAGGAGTAATTCCTGAGTGCAGAACCAGGAGAAACCCCTGAGCACTCCTTGGTGTGACCCAAAAAAGAAAAAAAAAGCCAGATTGGCTGCGCACAAGGCCAGCGCCCTCCCTCCCCAGGCCCGCCTCTGGGTCTTGGAGAAACAGTGTTGTTTCATTTGTAGGCTCATTCATTCACCAAATGGAAGCCAGGTGAGTCCAGGACCAACAGGGTAGAGGTGACTCCTGGCCGTGATGAGGGCGGCACAGGCCCTGTACCCATCTGGCTCACGGTCTGGGGAGGGCGACAGAGTGAACCCCAAAATACCACACTTCCCCTAGCAGGGGCAGAAGCTGGCTGGGTCCAGCCAGGAGGACGGCGGCAGGAAGAATCCAGCTGGAGGGATGGGCACGTGCAAAAGCCCTGGGGCAGGAGGGAATGAGGCCAGATCCAGGCCAGCGCAGCTGGAGGGGAAAGGACAGAGTGGACATTGGGGGGGTGGAGGGTGGGCTAGGGTGAGGTAGCCTGGTAGCCCTGACGGCCAGGCTCAGGGCTCCTGAGAGCAGAGTCTGAAGCTCAGAAGGTGACCCAAAGGGGCCCACTTTCTCCAATCCTAGGGCTCTCAGTCTCGTTCGCCATCAGAGCACCTGGCCCTGGCCTCTTTGGGTCCCTGTTTCCCCCTTGAGAAAAATAAAGATTTTTTGTAAGGTTTTTTTTTTTTTTTGCTTTTTGGGTCACACCTGGCGATGCACAGGGGTTCCTCCTGGCTCTGCACTCAGGAGTTACTCCTGGCGGTGCTCAGAGGACCATATGGGATGCTGGGAATCGAACCCGGGTTGGCCGCGTGCCAGGCAAACGCCCTCCACACTGTTAAATCGCCCCAGCCCAAGATTTTTTTTTAAAGGAGACAATAATAGGGGGTAGAAATCAGTGAAGACAGGAAAAGCCCCTGCCCGCTCCACTCCCCCGCTGGCCCAGCCGGCCCAGCCCTCAGGCCTCTGCTCAGCTCCCAGGGCCAAGCAGTCATGGAGGGGGGCGGATCCAAGGACGAGAGCGCCCAGAGCCCTGAGGCAGGGTCTGCTCTCTGCCTCCATCACCTCCCGCAGCCATTCCACACATAGCTGTGTCCAGGGGCCCCTTCGTGTTTAGGGAATACGAGCTCCTCTCTTTGTTTTGTTTTGTTTTGTTTTGGGGCCACACCCAGTGATGCTCAGGGCTCACTTCTGGCTTTATACTCAGATTATTACTCCTGGTGGTGCTCAGGGAACCATATGGGATGCCAGGGGTTGGCCACGTGCAAGGCAAAAGCCCTCCACGCTGCACTATGGTTCTGGTCCCAAGACCTTTAAAACAGCCAACTCCTCCTCCAAGGAGGCCTATTCCCAGTACTGGTCACCCTGAAAAGTAGCTAAGGACCTGTCTGTCTGTCCCCCAGCTGCCCACCCCCACCCCCACCCAGACCAGCAGCCTGCGAGCTAGAGGAAGCCTGGCTGGGTCTCGCCATCTGCACTCAGCCAACGTTTGTCAATCGAATATTCAATCTTGGGGGGTGGGGGGCCCAAAGGGAGCAAGAAAGGCCCCGCCTGTTCCTCAGGCCCACTCAGGCCCACTGCCACCTCCCATCTGGGTCAGAGGTTGTCCCAAGACACACACACACACACACACACACGCACGCACGCACACACGCGCAGGCACACACACATGCGGGGACACACACATGCACACATGCACACGCGCGCGCACACGTGCACACACCCCACACATGGGCACACACGCTCGCGGGGGCACACACGCACGCACGGACACACGCACACACGCGCGCACGGACACACACACATGCACATAAACTCGCACACACACGCACACGCACGCACACACGCGCGCGCGCTGCACAGCCTGGCTGTGCGGGCTGGAAGGAAAGTTGCCAGCCCGGAGAGGCGGCGCGGGGTCGCCCCGTGCCCCCCGCCCCGTGCCCCCCGCCCCGCGCCCCCCGCCCGCCCCGGACTCACTCAGAAGTTGGCGGCTGGCGTCGCTGACCGTCGCGTTCTCGGGCCAGAAGGGGTTCATCAGCGGCGCGCACGGGCTCTGCACTGCACGGGACACGGCACGGGGGGCTCGCTGGCCGCCCCCGGGGGCTCCCCGCGCCCGCCCCGACCCCCGCCCGCCGCAGGTCCCCGCGCGCCCCTCACCCCGGCAGGTGCGCCAGAGCCCCGAGTGCGAGCTGAGGGGCTCCGGCTGGCTCCGGTTGGCGCCCCCCGCGCGCTCCAGCCGCTCCGTGTCGATGATGTACCAGAAGTCCGTGCCCACGGCGGCCGCCAGGAGCACGAAGCTGAGAGCCCCGCCGAGCGCCGCCGCGCCCGCCAGCGCGCCCAGGTGCACCCGCATCGCCGCGCCCGGATGGAGAACCCGCGCCCGCCCCGCGCCCGCCCCGGCCCCCGCCTGGCTCCGCCCCTCTCCCCCGCGCCCCACTTTCCCCGACCGCTGCCTCTCCCCTGCGCCCCCGTCTCCCCCAGCCCCTCTCCCGCGACCCCTCGTCTCCCCCAGGCCCCCTGCCCCGCACCCCGTCTCTCCCCAAACCCTCTCCCCCGCGCCCCACTTTCCCCGACCGCTGCCTCTCCCCTGCGCCCCCGTCTCCCCCAGCCCCTCTCCCGCGACCCCTCGTCTCCCCCAGGCCCCCTGCCCCGCACCCCGTCTCTCCCCAAACCCTCTCCCCCCGCGCCCCACTTTCCCCCAACTCCTGCACCCTCCCGTCCCGTTGCTCATCCGAACCTCAACTGTTCCCCGTCGTCCCCCCACCCTTCCCACAGCGCCCTGCTCCTGAGCACCTGGGTAGGAGGTGGTGTGGGGCAGAAAAATGGGGGCTTTCCACAAAGCCCCCTGTGGTCTTGGAGTGCAGCCCAGCTCCGCAGCTCACAAACACCCCAAAAACCCCCTCCCGGGGTTTCTCTAGGGGGCAGCGGAGGGAAAGTTGCTGCTTTTCTCTTTTCCGCGAGGGGATGCAAAGGAGAGGTTGGAGGGGTGGGCCATCCTGGCTCAGGAGTGGCCCCGCTCTGGGGGTTCCTTCCAGCACTGCCCAGGGACCTGACTGCCCTCATGCCACCTGCCAGCCCCGAATTCTTTCATAAAATGTCTTTAGAGGCTGCAAAGGCTGAAGCCATGGTACACCAGGGAGGGCGCCTGCCTTGCATGCAGAGGACCCAGGTTCAATCCTCGGCATCCCAGATGGTCCCGCCCAGCCCCGCCAGGACTGATCCCTGAGTAGAGCCGGGGTGAGCCCTGAGCACCGCTGGTGTGACCCAAAACTAAAGTACTGGGCTGCGCCAAGTGCACTGAGCGCCTCGTCCCTGCAGTTGTCCTTCATCCTCATCAAGCTGCTCCGGCTCCACCTTCCTCACCGCCACCACCACCCACCACCAACATCACCATCTTCACCATCTTCACCATCTTCACCACTAACACCATCTTCATCATTATCAACATCCTCATTTCTACCACTGTCACCTCCACCGTCACCATCATCGCTTCCACCTCTACCATCACCTTCACCACCATCGCCACCACCATCACCCTCACCCCCACCATCAACACCACCCCCATCACCATCCCCATCACCATCCCCATCACCATTACCACTTCCACTATTCGATCCAACCTTCTCCCAGTCCCTTTGCAAAGCTAATCATGTCGGTTTCATCATCCTATTTTTCCTGAGGATTTCTAACATAATCTCCCTGAATCACGCTCCGTGGCTCTACAGGAACAGAAAGTCATGTTTTTCAATGAATCTGCACATCAAACACGGAATGATATTATTAGCTCAGCCGGTCAACGGAAGAGGCTCTCGCAGCCTGGAGCCAGGGTTCAAACAAGCCCCCACACTGAAGACGAACCCTGTCAGGCGCCCGCTGGTGGCGACAGCGCTGACCCGGGCCACTGGGGGGCACTTGTCTGCGTCTCAGTCAGTCTGTCTTAGAGGCCACCTACTTCTCTGAGCCTCAGTTTCCTCGCTGTAACATTGGCATTTGTACCTGACGTTCCCAGGAGGACAGCGGGGCATGGGCTGAGAGGACAGTCATGAAAACACTTCCTTTTTAAAGTCAGATGGGTGGGAATGCTTTGAGAGTGCGTGGGGAACACACTTTCCCCACGCCCCAGGGAGGAAACGGAGGGGCTGGCATGTGGCTGGGGGAAAGAGCCCTGACGTCACTCCCTGGGGCCACATAACACACGCCCCGGGCACTGTCGGGGTGGCCCATGAATGTGGCTTTGCCTGGGAGCCGAGTTCAGTCCCGGCTGACCTGGGTGGAGGGTAGGACCACAGAATGGAGAGCCAGCCCTGCAGGGGTGCGGCCCTGAGCTGGCCCCAACACACCAGGTTTCCCCAATAAGCTGCCCAGTGTGTGATCCTGGGGGCCTCTGAGAACAGCGGGTAGGGAGTTTGTCTTGCACACATCGGATCCGGGTTCGATCCCCGGCATCCCAGACAGGCACCACTAGGAGTAATTCCTGAGACAGAACCAGGAGTAACCTCTGAGCATCAAGGGGTGTGACCCCAAAAGCCAAAAAAGAAACAAAGCAACAAAGAGAGGGCCTGGAGCAATAGTACAGAGGTAGGGCACTGGCCTTGCCCGCACCTGCCCTGGGTTCAATCCCCGGCGTCCTCTCTGGTCCCCTAAGCACTGCCAGGAGTAATTTCTGATTGTCACCGGGTGTGGTCCAAAGAGCAAAACTAATTTGTTCTTTTTGGGTCACACCCGGCGATGCACAGGGGTTCCCCCTGGCTCTGCACTCAGGAATGACTCCTGGCGGTGCTCGGGGGACCCTATGGGATGCTGGGGATCGAACCCAGGTTGGCCGCGTGCAAGGCAGACGCCCTACCCACTGAGCTATTGCTCCAGCCCCAGTGAAACTAATTTTTAAGAAGCAGAGAGGAAATGTTTTGGAGTTCAGACAGAGCAGAAGGGAGGGAGGGAAGTGGCGTTCCCGTGGAGATGTGGCCTTCGTTATAAGTCTCAGCAATCGCAGGGGAAATAATATTTTTTAATCAACGAGGCCTCGCTGGATTCTCTACTGTTTTTCATTTCCCCGTGGCTCAGTCGCTTTTTCCTGGGTACCGAGAGCATCTCTGTCCCTCACTGGATCTGATATTACTTCTCCACACTGAGGAGCATGTGGGTTCAACAGAGAGTAATTCAGGAAAGCTTTTATGAGGAGGGCCGGAGAGAGGGCCCAGCGGGGAAGGCACTTGTCTTGCACTGGGGCGTCCTGTGAGACTCCAGGCCATTATCTTGTTGGGGAGGTACTCGAGCACCCTCGTGTCTCTCCTCCGCAACATCCGCGTACCAAATCGCCCACAGATGTGCTTCTCAGAACAAGCCCCCACTGCAAAGTGTGAGGGGACAGGAGAGGAATGGTCCAGTGTGGACGAGTCAGAGGGTCAGTGGCCCCAGATCCCGCAGCTCTCAGAAGAGGGACAGCCTTAAGTGCTGCCAGCCCACGAGTGCCACCTCAGACAGTCAGCCCGTGAGTGCCACCTCAGAGCCAGCCCACGAGTGCCACCTCAGAGACAGCCCACGAGAGTCGCCTCAGACCAACAGCCCACGAGTGCCACCTCAGAACCAGCCCATATGGCCACCTCAGAGCCAGCCCACATGGCCACCTCAGAGACAGCCCACGAGTGCCACCTCAGAGACAGCCCACGAGAGCCACCTCAGACCAACAGCCCACGAGTGCCACCTTAGAACCAGCCCACATGGCCACCTCAGAGAACCAGCCCACAAGTGCCATCTCAGACAGTCAGCCCACAGCCCATGAATGCCACCTCAGAGCCAGCCCACGTGGCCACCTCAGACTGACAGCCCACGAGAGCCACCTCAGACAGACAGCCCACATGTGCCACCTCAGAACCAACCCACATGGCCACCTCAGAGCCAGCCCACATGGCCACCTCAGAGAGCCAGCCCCGAGTGCCACTTCAGAACCAGCCCACATGTGCCACCTCAAAGAGTCACCCACAGGTGCCACCTCAGAGCCAGTCCACAAGTGCTACCTCAGAACCAGCCCACGAGTGCTGCCTCAGAGCCAGCCAATATGTGCCACCTCAGAGAGTCAGCCAACATGTGCCACATCAGAGAACCAGCCCACAAGTGCCACCTCAGAGAGCCAGCCCACATGTGCCACCTCAGAACCAGCCCACATGGCCACCTCAGAGCCAGCCCACATGGCCACCTCAGAGAGCCAGCCCACAAGTTCCACCTCTGAACCAGCCCACAAAGAGTCACCCACAAGTGCCACCTCAGAGCCAGCCCACAAGTGCTACCTCAGAACCAGTCCACGAGTGCTACCTCAGAGCCAGCCCACATGTGCCACCTCAGAGAGTCAGCCCACATGTGCCACCTCAGAGAGTCAGCCAACATGTGCCACATCAGAGAACCAACCCACAAGTGCCACCTCAGAGAGCCAGCCCATATGTGCCACCTCAGAACCAGCCCACATGGCCACCTCAGAGCCAGCCCACAAGTGCCACCTCAGAGCCAGCCCACAAGTGCTACCTCAGAACCAGCCCATATGTGCCACCTCAGAGCCAGCCCATGTGGCCACCCTGCCCACCCCAATACCAACCCCCCACAACAAAGGGAATTTTAAACACAAGAGTCATTTTCGTTTTAGTGTGTGTTTTAACATCCAATATAAAGTAAACTATTTTGTGCCTGCTGAGGAGGCTGACAGGGTGGAGGGAACTGGGGGGGGGGGGGGGTCACACTGGTGGGTCACTGCAACCACTGTATCATGAACCACTTTGTAAGTCAACACAACTGCAACACACTGTCCTCCCATTGTTCATCGATTTGCTCGACTGGGCCCAGTAACATCTCCATTGTGAGACTTCTTGTTACTGTGTTTGGCATATTGAATACTCTTGGTAGCTTGCCAGGCTCTCTGCGAGGGGCGGAGGAATCGAACCTGGCTTGGCCAGGCTGGTTGCGCGCAAGGCAAACGCCCTACCGCTGTGCTATCACTCCAGCCATCATGAACAACTTTGTAAGTCATGGTATTAAATAAAGGTGAACCAAGACAAGGGCTCTCCCCTACCCACTCTGAGGTCCCCAGGGCAATCAGACCCCTGCCCACCCCAGTGACCTTCTTCTGCCGACTGCCTGCCCTTCTTCCCATGCCCCTGTCTGTACCAGTAGGTCCTTGGGTCACTCTCCCTCCTCTCCTTACCTGGCAGTTCACTCAAACGGACCCAGCAGGGGGCAGGGGAGACAGCTCAGCTGGCTGAGTGAAGACTCAGCATGTGAAGATGTAGGTCTCAGAAGCCAGAGTGATAGCACAGCGGGGAGGGCGTTTCCCTGCACGTAGCCGACCTGGGTTCGATCCCAGGCATCCCATATGGTCCCCTGAGCACCTCCAGGAATAATTTC